AGATAGCAATGGAGTGCCCCCTCCCCGAACTGGAGTTTCACCGTGGCGGGTTACATTTCCGTTCACGACAACCACCGATTTCAATGAACGCTTATTAATCGAATTAACGCCTACTGTTGTTTAGGATGGCGTCGTCATTTCATTTATTATTCCGATTGGTGTCGAGGATTGGAAGAATTCCAAATGTTAAACGAGAAAGACCAGGACGTGCTGGCAAGAAGACGGCTCAATCTGCACTGCTGGTGAGAAAAACCTTCCAAGTGCTCTATAGCGACTTCTGAAAATGCTACAAATACAGGGGTGGCCAAAAAAGAGACACCCACTCCACATTCAAGACAATATTAATCTTACTTTGCTGAACTGAAACTGACTGCTCCCACCTTAGTATTAACACATTGACGCCCGCACTGATTTCGGCGCATGTCACACATGTGACATTACCTGCGTGCATACCCGGCGATGCACAAATCTCACATTCGGGACATTTTGTGGAATTTCTCTACAGGACCCATATATCTCGCTACAAGACCCATGTATTTCGCCACAGGACCCACACAATCTCAACTGCAACCTCCCCATTGGGCTGGCAACGTATTGCTTTTGTCCTTTCTTTGTTCTACTTTTTCTCGTTTTTTCTTTCGCTTCTTACTATTTTTTGCTCGGCTTCTCATCAGAAAATATATTCAGTAATTAGTAGCCATTGGAGTTTATTGTTAAACAGTTTATGAGGGTTCAAACTGAGGCACTGGTTGTGCAAATTGAAGTTCCAAAAGTATCTTGAAATTGAAGATGGAGAGCAGCCATGTGTTTAGTGGATTCAAGGCACTAGTGGAACTTCTATAGTCACAGAAGTAATGAAAAAAAGATATAAGGGGAGCTTAAAATCAATGTGCATACCGGGCGATGCACAAATGTCAGATGTGGGAGTTTCGACGTGCATACCCGGCGATGCACGCGGGCTGCAATGTGTTAAAGAGCACACCCCAATCTATCAATATGCGTTATAATGCTTTCTGCACCAAGGACATCACAAGAATTTGCCATGGGAACCTTGTGCACGGTTTGAGCTCAACTGGTCCTCGACGGATCATTACGACGTCATCTGAAACGCTGGTCAAAAGCGAACTTGCATATCACAGCTAGTGTCTCTGGGAAGCTATTCACTGGTCAACCGATTGAAGAAATTATGTAGGAGCTTCAGGCGGAGCGATTACGGTAAGCCTCGTTGAGCTTGAGCTCAACCGTGATGGAAGATGACGTCGTATTTTGGAGACGTAGTGAGTGGAAGAGGCCTGCTTCTGCTTATGCGAGGACATCTGGGGAATGTTTTGCTATGAAACTTTCATGCAATCTTGTGCAACGAAAAGTTAGATGATGTGTGCCATGAGCAAAGTGTCTCTTTTTTTGGCCACCCCTGTATTTGCATCTATCACTTTCATATTTGCTCATACAAGCGCTATTCTTTGGCACATGCTCCATGATGTTTTGCGATGGGGCAGAAAAAAGGATCTATGAAAAAAAAAAGGATCGATGTAGTAAGCTACAGTAAGACGCTGATTATATCCAAAAATTCATCAATGACCATTTTTTCGTCAATAGAGAGCTTACACGGGAGTCGAATGCGATCTGGGCGCTGGGCAGTGCACGCGATCTACAAATACAACACGCCTCGCGTACTTTGGAGTCTTCCTTGAAGCCTATTTCACTCCACTGTCGTTGACCTCCGCGCCTTTAATCTGTATTCCTACAGCTTGCAGTTTAGTTGCGTGGCTGTAGATGTTCATCTGTCGACTACATCGCTTCCACAACTCGAGGCCCACGCCGAACTCTATACAGTTAGCCAACTTTACTTTGCTTATTACTTACACCAGCTTTGCTTACAACGCCTCTCTGATACGCGAGTGTACTGGTAGAACTACCTTGTTACCACTACACGGATCGAAGATGAAAGTCCTGTGTCCGTACCGTCGTCCAGGCTGCCCATTTTCTAACCGCTCTGGATCGTAAAATTTGACGCAGCTTTATCTTGACGGCGACAGAGACGTGTATATAAACGCTCACGTAACTTGTGGTCACTTGCAGTTACGACTGTGAGCAGAAGATTAGAGCGAATGATCACCCAATACTTTCTTCAATCGGCGGCAAAGTGAACTTCTGTTTAAATAGGGTTCGCTCCTTTACAAGGGAAGGGAGAAATTGGTCGTAGTAAAATTATCCAAGACAGGCGTTTCACTAAGTTATAATGAGGTCTCACATTGCGCAATCATAAACTGCGTCTCAATCTTTCTTGCTTTTTCTCTTTCGTCAACCTGTTGTTGGATACTGTGGTGGAAATCCCGTGTTCATTCAAATGAATCAGAGAACTGAATGAAAACTCCGAGTCGTGGCGTATCCACATCTGATGCCTAACCATCGAGGGTTCTGTTTTTATTGAAGACGAAATCCTCCGATTGCAAGAAGCCGCCACTGAAATAAAGGTAGAGTGGCCAGAGAATTAGGTCAAAAAGAAGTTAGCAAATATGGCCTAAATTGGGAAATGGAATCGGTTTTTGCGCGTTGCTTTCCTGGAGACTCCCATCGTGCGTACCCCTTCAACGCCAACTTATTTCTGCTATACGGCTAGGACTCGACCGAGTGTTAGCCGGACGATGTTTTGGTGGGGGGGGTGTTTGGCTGTTGGGGTTAGCGAACCTGGGTCCGCGCTGATAGGCGGCGCGGGTCCATGCCAGGTTTACCGGGCATAGTGCTTACCTGCTATTGGGCACGTTGGTCCGCATCTACCGACGGCGCGGATCACATACGTTCCGCACTTTCGCGACCTTGTTTTCCTGAAAATGTGCCTTCCATTTTCCATGCTTCAAGACTGGCCCTTCCTACTGTTGGATACAAAAAATAGTTCTCTCGTTACCACTAATGAAATTATTGGTAATGTAGTAACTGTTAATGCAAATTTGTGAAATAAGGTGGGTAGGTTCGCGCACAAGGGCGTGTCGTCAACGTGTTAATGGACCCACGTGTCTTTCACTAGGGGGTTTTCCCACTCTTTGACCTCCGACCTTATCGTAGGATCCTTCTTTGAGTATGTCACCAGGCTAAGAATGATGATAAGTCTAGGCTTCTTATCATTATTTCTCTGAACCCTGCCATCAATAGTCGCTGATGACTGATTTTCGGCAATATTTCATGTTCAGCATTAGTCATTTTAATTGTTTGCAAAGTATTAGTCCGCAACCAAGGCGAAGAATGCTCTTCATAATGACTGGTTCTTCGGCTGGTGTTATTTACTTCACGATGAGTCTCCCGAGTTATCGCGACAATGATAAACACTCGGAGCTCTGCAGAGCGTTCAGCAATTGACGGTTAGGAAATGAGTGGTTAGGATGAAAGTATAGCCTAGCTGGGGTTCAATCTGCCGTGCTTTTGAAGCGTGCCACGTAGCCAACTTCTATTCAGAGCCTCAATATTAGTTTGATGGATGTGACCCACGCAATAACACAGAAGACGTCCTTGTACCATTAGGCTTTGACATTCCGCATGCTTTCGCAGCAGTTATACTGCTTTGTCAGTTAGCAGTGATTAGCTAGTTGCGGTGAGGCTCGATTGACGGTGGCACTGGGGGGGGGGGGCTCTAATCGACTGACCATGCGTTGGTAACCCTTACCATTGATCCAATTGGGCTTATTTATGGTCCGAAGTGAGAGTATTGACAGGTCGCATCTGAAGCTACAAGCAAGGTTGAAAATCACCTCGGCTATGTCGTCGGGAAAAGGAATTCGTGTACGACCCCTTACTTTCTGAAGTGATCGTTGACCGCCTCTCCAGGGCACTAGAAACGCGTGGAATCAGAAGCACAGGCAAACCGGTGTGACCCTTGAATGATGCCCAAATAATGTACTTTGTCATGGTTGAGATTGAACCCGCAAGGTCAACCAGCAAAAGTCGCGCTTTTTGTCGTTGCGCTAGGCGATCTCAAATGCATGGGATCTTTGTAAACATGCAAAGTGCGTTTTACAAGCCTTTTTTCACCAAATGAACATTCCTATTAATTGAAATATTACTTCTGTCATTCCACCGAACCCTTTCCCGTAGTGTACCGTGTTTCGAAAATCGATAATCGATTTTTAAGGCTGAGCCACTCATACTATTCGATGAAATGTGGAGCACCTGGGACTGTGTTTTGCAAACGGGGCTTTTCATCCAGTCGAAGGAGGCCATCCGAGGTAAGCCAAATTCACGTGGCCGATCTTATAATTGACTACTCCAAGATAGCCATTAAGTCCGTTTTTGACCGCACGGATTTGCCACAAATCGCGCGCAGTGACTCTCTACCAGTCGTCAAAAATTGCTTCGCACTGGCTTCCATATTTCTTCGCGTGTCTCAAAAATATGTGCGCTCATAGTGACAAGCTCTAGCGCCTACAAATCGGACCTAAAGTCACACTAGTGATTTGTTTAACAAAGAACGTCTATTTTTTTTCTTATGTAAGATATTTGCAGCATCGTTGATTTTTATAAGCAATGTATGCCACGTCTGATGAGTTACGTAATCGGCCCTATGCGATCGATGGCTATGGACGATGTCGAGTTCGTGTTACTGAAAGCGATTGTGTTTTTCGGTGAAGGTTCGTCAACTGTCGTAATTATTATTTTATGCAAAAAGCCGGTTGGCCCTGTATTTATTTTTTATATTTGTACTTACCCACTATTTATGTATTATTTATACATTTATGTTTGGTCCCTATCGCATTGCCACTCAGCAAGTAAAGCAGCTCTGATTACACATAGGCCAATGTCACACTGTGCGAACTGAACGATTCCTTAGGCCGATGTCAGACTTTGCGAATCGCGCGATTCGCTACCATTC